AGCCCTTTGGGGTCTGCTCCTAAAAGCTAGTACACAACAAATGATCACAGACTATACATCTGGAAATGACCTTGAGAGGTCATCTGATCCATCCCCCTATCCCTGAACCATTCCTGATTGACGTTGGTTTAAACTGCTTTTAACCTCCAATGATGGAGATTATTTGACCTCTCTAGGTAACCTCTACTCCAGTGCTTCACTTCACAGTTAGAAAATTTCCTAGTTCTAGCTTAACTTCTTGTTGCAGTTTAACCTATTGCTGCTTGCCCCATCCCTAGTGGACATGGAGAAGGTTTTCTAAACTTCATCTTTTATGCATTTAAAGGGTGGTATGGATCCCCTCAGACTTCCGAAACCTAAACAAACCCGGGTTTTTCAATCTTCCCACGTAGGTAATGTTTTCTAGACCGCTGATTCTTTTTATTGCTCTTCTGCAGGTTCTGCCAAATTAGTTCCCATCTTTCTGGGCAGTTTTCCAGCAGAGGTTGCCTCAGTGCTGAGTAGAGTGGAAGAATGACTTAATATGCCGTACATATGACACTCCTGTTTATGCTCTCAGTGTAACTTTGGCTTTTTAGAACAGCATAACATTACTGATCCTGTTCAGATTGTGATCTGCTATAACCCTTAAACCCTCTTTTGTGTGGTTGATTACTTCTACTTAAGAGTAGTATTTCTCCCCCTCTGTGTTGGCACCAGGCTGGTGTCCCCACACACTAACATTTCATTTGTTACTGCATTCTATCCTATTTATTTAATTTCTCAAAGTTGTCAAAACCTTTTGAATTCCAGCCCTGTCCACCAAAGTGCTTGCAGTCTCTTCCAGCTTCCTATCTTCTGCAAATTTAATCAGTGTATTTTCTAACTGATCATCCGTGTCATTAATGAAAATGTTGGATAGTACTGAACCCTGGACTTCCTCTTACTAAACCTCACTTGATAAATTTTTCCAGTGTGACAGTGAACCATTGAAAATTACTCTTTAATTATGGTTTCCAATTGGTCGTATAATTACCAGCATTCTTCTGACCTCGTGGTCCACTTACCCACACCTGCCACCCTGCTGCCTGCTGTGAAGAACTGCCACAGTCCACTTGTCTCCCAACTCTATTAGTTGCTTTACAGCCAGCCCCTTCCTAGCTCTACGGAAAGTCCCACCATCTACTTCTCTTGTGTTCCTCTTGTGTGCATACTTGGAGCCACCCAAGCTACCTATGCATATGCTAGATCTGAAACAAAAAACGACAGAGTAGCATGGCTCTGCTCCTGGGCCAATTAGTTGAGATTTCTCAGCAGAGCTAACTAGCTTGCCTACAGTGGTGCCCAAAGGCAGCTCTGCTGTTTCCCGTTCCAGAGAGGTGGCATATGTGAAACTCAGCATGATGCTGCCTGACATCACAGAAATGCTGGGGGGGAAGAGCAGAGGGGGTAGTTGACCACCCAGACCTTCCACTGTATCTGCGCTTGCCAACCACCAGTTAACCACTGATCCAGGCCATATCACCTTACTTAAGAGGATGCCATATGCCATGTGAAGCAGTGTCAAAAGCTTTAATGAAGTATGGATATATCCCATGCATCATCATCATCATCATCAAACAAGTACCGTGTCCAGTTTTGGGCCCCCCAGTACAGAAAGGATGTAGACAAATTGAAGAGAATCTTGCAGAGGACAACAAAAATGGTGAGGGGGCTGGGGCACATGACTTCTAAGAAGAGGCTGAGGGAACTGGACTTATTTAGTCTGGAGAAAAGACAGGGGGGATTTCATAGTGGCTTTCAACTACATGAAGGGGGGTTCCAAAAAGGATGGAGCAGGACTGTTCTCAGTGGTGACAGATGACAGAACAAGGAGCAGTGGTCTGAAGTTGCAGCAAGGGAAATTTAGGTTGGATATTAGGAAAAACTGTCTCACTAGGAGGGTAGTAAAGCACTGGAACAGGCTACCCAGCGAGGTTGTGGAATCTCCATTCTTGGAGGTTTATAAGACCTGGCTAGAAAAAGCCTTGGCTGGGCTGATCTAGTTCCTGCTTTGAGCAGGGGGGCGAACTAGATGTGACTTCCCGAGGTCCTTTCCAACCCTCATTTTCTCCAATTCTGTGACTCTGACAGGGACAAGCAAAGTCCAGCCCACAGGCCAGATCGGGCCTACAGTGGACACCATTTACCAGCAGCCCCTGCCTGCATCACTGCAGCCAGTTTCCATGGAAACCCCAGCAGCAAGGCTGTGACAGTGTAGGGCCAGGGTTTTCATGGCAACCGGCACCAGCAGCACTGGCAGAGTGCGCAGCTGAGCGGGGAGCTGCTCCAGGGCTGGGATCTTGCATTGGAGACAGCATGGTCCAGAGCCGGGGCAAAGCTGCGATCCTCTGCCTGTCATGGCACTGCCATTCCTGGGGTCTCCTTGGAAACCAGCCACAGCGACATGGGCAAGGGCTGCTGGGAAATGGAGTCTGGCTGCTGGCAGCATCCACCATTTTGTCCACGCCTGCTCTATGATCATCATCCTCTGCATCAAAATGTATTTTTTCTTTTAGTTATGTGATAAGTTAATGTTACTAAGTTATCTCCATCTGATCTTTATTATTGTATTACAGAATGAACAATGAATTGGTTTCAATTGTAAAATCATTCGCCAGCAATCCTTTTCTCTGATGATGACCTTTGGCTGGCCAGAACAGGTGTGCTTGGTTCTCCTGTAATCCTGCAGGCCTTGATTTCAACACCATTTTCTGATGACCTTTTTTTTTTCCTTCCCCAAGTGCTAGGGAGAATTATCAAGAGAAGGAAGGGAGTGGCACTGAATGAACACAAAATTACATTCATCATCAATCATTAGCCTCTAGCAACTTCCAGAGAATTGTAAATTGCTGACTAACAAGGGGAAATTAGCTTGATAAAATCACCATTAGTGTCAGTTCAGAGTGATGTAAAGTTTAAAAGTTGTAGCTGTGTTTTCTGTCTCTGTCACTCTTATTTATCTGCATTGGTTCCCTGAAGTCACAGTCCAGTAAAGCGCCAAAGGAAATGCTTAACTTTAAGCATGTGAGTAGTTATCCTGAAGCAGCGGCATAGCTGGGCAACCCTGCACCTTGGGCAGCTACTGCAGTACTCAGGGCAGCACTGGCTGCCACAGTGCTGATCCCAGCAGCACACCACCACTGCAGTTGTGGCTATCGTGCGTGCCACCCCTTCCCTCTCCCCCAACCGTGGTTGGTCCCCTTTAGTAACATGACTGCTGAAGTCAGTAGAACGTGCACATCCAAGGAAGCTGGTTGTATATGGGCCAGTCCCACACTTCAAAAATTATGCGCTTGGCTACAAATCTGCGAGGTATATAACTAGACCTTGGTGCTAGAGAACTACTAGCCATGTGTAGGAGAAGGGTCCACTGGCTGGTATTGTTATGGCTTCCTTGATAGCAAAGCAGTGGTGACAATTCATGTTGTTTGAGGTTCTGCTTCTATTAATCTGGACTTCTTAAAACTGCATAGCCGGTGAAAGTTGGACAGTGCTGTATATGTATATAGATGGAGAGCAGGAAATAAGGACAACCTATGTTTGGGGTTTGTTTTGTTTTGTTAAGTTGGAGCAGAGGTGCATTTGCAGGAAATGGACAAAAGGAAATCTCTGTTTCTGCAAGAACCACCCACGGTACTGGAAATCCTACGATTCAAAAACCATGAGATTTTTTAAATCAAGTATGATTGGTTCATATTTGTCTTCTGGTTTCTTGACCTTTCCAAGGCAATCTCTCACTTTTGCATGCTTGTCTGTGCAAGCCTGAGGGCTAGAAACTTCATTTTTTGAAAAGATGAAAGCCAATATTCTCATGCAGTCACTTGACTGCACCAGTTGGGACCTAAGAAAAACACCAGATACTGAGAGAGTTGTGGTAAAACCATGCGGGTGAGCAGCACCACTACAGGAATAATATCATCAAAGATTCTTGTTCTATTGTGTTCATTATTTAATAGAAGTACTTCATCTAAGATTATAAATCAGTAGCATCAACAACCCTTTTCTTATTTGGATACCAAACAATCGCTGATAAGCCAGATCATTACTATAGCTGGTTATTCACTTTGGAAAAGATGAGAATTTTAAATAGGTTAGCTCTCCCGTTTTCATAGCTCTTACATAAAACTGCTCGACAAAGATACGTAATTCAGAACTGATGTGCTGTGAAGTTAATGTTTCATTGTCTTTGAACAGCTCAGTAACAAGCCAATCACTTTTGTTAGGACATCTAGTTCTTTTGAGTCATAATATCATATTTTAGAAAAGAAAAGCACTTGTTTGCATAGATTTTAAGGCTAGGAGGGATCGTTGGGATCATCTAGTCTGACTTCTCGCATAAGACAAGCCACACAGAAAACACTACCCAGGAACTTTGTGCTCCTTTTTTGAATACTTTGTTGAATACTTCAGTGTTAGCTGTTGAAGTGAGCCACACTTTTACACTTCAGAAAACAGCTGACCACAGCAGTGGGATTCCAATAAGAAACTCAGAATTTTATTGTTGCAAGCTCTGAAATACGCATTAACAGAAGTGGATGCTGTCACTTTTTGTTTGCAACCTAACGCAGAGCATTTGCTTTTTTTTTATCAAAGAAACCATAAATGAACAGGCTATCTCTTTCTCTATAGAAGATGAAGTTACCTGTTCTGTGGTAAATATTGATATTGCTGTTTTAAAAAGATAAGCATTAATCATTGTAGTAATTTATGTTTGCAAGGCACAAATTTCAGAGCCAGATTCTCAACAGATATAAATGGGTGAAGCCAGACCCACTGATTTCAGCAGAGGGTAAGGCCTTTTACATCAGCTAAGGAACCTGCCCTCGTGTATACCCTAGTGTCTTTTTGCTTCCTCCACCTTTTATGGGTTTTAAAAGCTCTGAGTTGCCCAAACAGTCTATGCTTTCCGTATGGCTTTTCAGATCAGCAACATTGGTCATTGTGTGTTTTTCATTGATGGAACTGATTTGTGTTTGCAGGTGTGAGAGCTGTGGCGCTGTCTTCCACTCTGAGTGCAAAGTGAAGTCTGTCCCTTGCCCCAGGTGTGTACGCAAAGAGCTGCAGAAGAAGCAGAAATCCTTCTGGAGGAGACTCAATATGGACGAGAGCATGGAGGAGTCTTGCACCATGTTTGAGCTGTCCTACCAGAACACATGACTTCCCTCAGTTTCTTGGCAACTACAAAAGATCCTCTTCTGCATTCACCTACTCAAGCAGCTGCTCAGCTAGCCAGGCAGAAATCTTATTGCAGAGATGATGTCTCACCTTGATTATTCGCTAGTACTGGCCAAAAGGGCCATGAAACCAGGTGGGCTTTAAAATACCAACAGCCAAATTACATTTTGCGGAGAAGTTGAACCACTAGGTCTCATGCAAAATGTGGTTTACTTGAAATGCTTTATGCTCAGCTAATGAAGGTCCCAGCTTTTTCTTTTCCACCTCAGGAGAAGATTTTTCCTTAAGGCAGAAAATATTTCCTGCCAAGACCTGTGGTTAATTATTATTTTTGTTCTTGTTGTGGCTCACCCAGAAACCATGAATCATCTACTTTATATTTATGTATTTTATTTATTATTAGCCTTGGTTGAGGTTCTGATGAAGCGTTCTGCAGGACCGAAGAAGGTGGCAGTGGTGCTAAGCCCACCTCTTCTTTGCGATGTCAATGCATGGAAAGCCACTTTAAGGAAAGAGCATGTAGGGATTTATTTATTTATTTTGCTCCCTGAACAAAATGTCACATCTAACTTCCTCATTTAGGATGCTTGCAAACATAAAACCCAGGATAATTCCTTTAGGTGTGCCCATACATTTATACCTGTCCTAGCAAAATACTATAAAAATGGGGGTGGGGGGATAATTATATTTTGGGGTCAACGGTGACTTTCATTGAAGCACAGTTGTGCCCTGTCATTGAAGTACCGTCGCTTAATTTTACACTTGTTACTCTTGTCTGTCTGAGCCACATCCTCATTTCCATCAATGGTATGTTGGTTCAAATCCATATTGATTTCATGGTCAAAGCCTTTTTAAGGTATATTTTAATCACCTTAAATTAATGAACAATGCTTTGCTCAAAGACGTGATAAATATGCTTTCATCACCTGAATCTACTAGGCCGACAGGAAAAGAAGCCTCTCCCACCTTTTAAGAAAAATGTATAAAGTTTTCCTAACTCCTGAAACATAATTCAATCTCTTTGCTGCATTCTTCTTGTGCAGTTTGTATACTGGCTGCACTGAGCCATGGCAACATCAGGCAGATCCAAAGGGATTTTGGTACTTCAGTAGGAACTTACGATGCAGAAAGAATAGTTCATGTTCTGCCTGATGTACTTGGAAAAGTAATTGCAGCAAGTAATATCTGCTGTGAAAAGAGAATTTGTTATTTGATTGGGAAAACAAGTCACCACTGACAGTGTCTAATTTGTCTCATTATTAGTGAGATGTGATCATGATCCCCTCTGCTTGAATCCATAAAATATCTTCATTCTTTCTCCAGTGATATGTATATTACATATTACATATGTATGTGTTTGTGTGTGTATTTGTAGAAAGCAACTACAGTGTCAGGAGACAAGTTTACAGACTAGTATGCATGTGCATTTATTTGCCACTGCTACCAAGCAAGTTTGCTAAATTGCGGGCCAGCAGTCTGTACTTCCTAAATAACTGCTTGACCCAACAGCATCAGATATTAGCAGAAAACAGAGCCCTGTTCAATAGAATATCAAGCTAATTGCTGGATTATTATAAAGAAAGGAAAAGCAGGCATAGCACGTAAAATAAGTGGTTGGCCAAAAAAAGTTGCACTCTCTCCTGTTCAGATATCAGTATTTCTCTTTCTCTTTTTTGCTTTCCAGGGAAAAAATGGCTGAACCTGAGCTCTTTTTTTTTTTTTTTTTTTTTTT